TTCTCTGATCAGTTCTATTCTAACTTTAATACAATAATTACACTTTTACATTGATATAGCATATTTCATGTTGGAAGATTGTGACCAATACTATATTATATTAGCTATTTTATCTCTGCATTTCGGACTTACTTTCTCTCTCTCTATAATAATACTCCTTGCATTTGATACAGCACTTTTCACGCCTTCTCAAAGCGCTTCAGAATAGACTGTAAAGTGAATTGACCGCATATTTGTAGACGAAACGCAGCAACCAATTCCGCACAGGAGTGTCCCACAAACAGTCGTGGATTGAAAATGACCAATTTATTATTGCTTTGTTTTTTGGAGGGATTATTATTAGGCGTGTGGAGTAAGGAAACTTGCCCAAGGTTTCGCCCTGCCTGGAATTGAATCCTGATGTCTCGCTTGCAAGGCGAGTGCTCTAACCACTGAGCTACAGGACCCTACTTACAAACTTTAATTACAAACTTTTTTTTTTAAAAAGTACACATTTCAACATGTTGTAGAATTCTAGTTTGGGTGCTTTCATACTGTGACATTCTATCTTAGTTGGGCAAGATTATGAAGAGATCTGCAGGTTAGGATGAAGAACTTGAAATTCATCCAGTGGGCAACTGTGGAGATTGGTGAAGATGAGAATAATGGGTGTGTGAGATCTGGTGCACAAGAAGGAACGCTGGAGCTATAGCTGAATTCATGCTTTGAGGGGAGCTAGGAATGTCACAGAGCTTTGGAGAAATCTAGTCTCAAGGTGACAAAACATGCATGGTAGTTTTGTTTAATTTGAGGTTGAGATAGGGATGGAAGCAAACAAAATTCAAAGGTAGATGAAGGAGGAACATGTGAAGGAGGAACATCAGCGCCTTGGGACGTCCTCCTGACGTGAAAGGCGCTTTATAAATGGAATCTTGTTGTTGTTGTGTCGTGTTTGAAGAACTGAAAGGTAGGATGGTGAACCTCTTTGAATGAGGTGAGCTCAATGTCTTGCTTTTTCACTTTAATGTGTAAGTTTGAAGTGCCCAGATTACCACAAAACTCACTACTAAACAGAGTTCAACCTTGGGTCCTTCTGGACTTCGAGGAGCAATTAGATTAACTGGGTATGCTCATACTGCAAAAGGGAAGGTTGAGGAGCAATGTGATTATAGTCTTTAAGATTCTGAAGGGAATAGGCAATGATGACAAGCTCTTTTATCTTGCACCAAACAGTAGGACCGGAGGACACAGCCTACGATTAAGGGGGTTCCAGCGGATTGGGACGTCCTCCGACGTGAAAGGCGCTCTATAAATGTAATTTTGTTGTTGTTAAATTCAGAACAAATCCGCAAAAGCACTACTTCAGTGGGAGAGGAGTAAACTTATGGAACAGGCTCCCTAGAGAGAGACAGTGGAAGCAGAAAATGTCATTTGTTTCAAGAACAAATTAGAAAATAATATCTCAGTATATAGTTTGGGATATGACTTGTCAAGTGACTGCAAGGATGGTGGAAGGTGAACTAGATGGACCTTGGTCTTCTTTCACCTAGCAAATTCTGATGTTCTTCTCAGAGGATTTATGCCACAAGACATTACAGTTATAATAATAATAATTCTTACATTTGATTTAGCGCTTATCACGTCTTCAAGACGTCTCAAAGCGGTTCACTGAATATACTGTAAAGTGAATTGACTGCATATTGTGTGGGTGAAACATGGCAGCCAATTGGACAGCAGTGTCCCACAAGCAGTCGTGGATTGAGTGACCAAATTATTATTATTATAATAAGCGATCCACCAATTGACCAACTACCGGGGTCCTAATTACTGCAAGGTGAACAGAGGCATGTGGAGCAAGGAAACTCATCAAACTTTTCATCCTGCTCAATAATCAAACCCAGGTCTTCTTGCTTGTGAGGCGAATGCTTTAACCACTAAGCTACAGACTCTACATTATCTGTAGCTCTCCCTCTAGTCTCCTTTATCAACCTTCTAAATACTACAGTTCTTTCAGTTTGGATTATCAGCAAGGCTTGTTGACCATGTTAAGAGTGCTAAATGGACTATTATTTGGAGGAAGAGGGCTTCTTGCAGTCTGCCTCCTGTTTTAACATCATAGAAGACAGTTGTCCACCCCTCCTTATCTGAGCAGGGAATTATTGCAACTTAAATGTGAAGAACTAATTATACTGTGGGCTTGTCAATATCAAATAATGAAATATTTATCTTGAAAATCATATAATGAAAATATACATGGGCATGTGGGGATTCCCCAGTGGGACAGGCCAGCTTCCAAAGGTCAGTCTTGGTTGATTGACAAGGAGATGAAGGTTCAGTGGATTTAAAAAGTATTTCTGCAGACAAAACTGCTTCTCTCTGGGACACAGGAATGGGGCAAGACACACGTTTGTGGTGACTGTGCCTCTACATATGGTCTGAGTTGGTTAGTTGGCTTTGTGTTAATTTACTTGGTCCACAACTAAGGCTGCTATTGACTTTTATTTCAGGAACACACCTTTGCCATCCACAGTTAATATTGTGTTGGATGGTACAGAATCAGTATCCTACCAAGTCATGGAGCCAATTACTCATTGTAAATGGTTTTAGCTTTGAACACTATCATTAATGAATCTATTGAGGGAATACAAATCTAATCAGGTTTCATTGAAAAATCCTGAACATTGGCTCAAGCAAAAATGTGACAGTTTAAAATGATTGTACTAAAACGCACAGTGCACTACGTGGAACAATGTTCCGTGTCCATTCTAGCCACAAGCAATTGTTTTTAAAATAAAATGTCTGTGCCCTTATTCCTTGCCCATTTGCAAGATCTCAGTTCTCAACTAGTTCATCAATTGCAATGAAGAACTATAGCAGCAGGAAAATGCTGATCTGGTGTTTAGCAACTCAATAAATTACTGATCGATAAAATTTGTTGACTGTGATAACATTTTCTTTTGACCTGCAGAACAAGATGTCTGTCTAATCTGAATATAAATGGACAATTTGTCAGTGTTATGTCTTGATTCCCAATGAACTATGCGTGGCTTGCAATTCATGTCGGCTGCAAATTGTGCAATTACAAAGAAAAGTTAAAAGACTATAGATAGTGGCATTCTGAATCAATTATTTAAAAACTGGAATACATTCTACTCTAATGTGTCATATTTCTCAGTATGATAGTGACAGCTTTGTGAATAGAAAACCAACAAATACTAAAACAACCTTTCTTCCCACTACAAAATCAGAGCTGGGTTTGCTGATTGGAGATTCAGTGTGCTGCATTTATCATTAAAAAATATGGTTAAGCGATTCAAACATGAACTAAGCTGCACTGCTGAAATACAATTTCTTTTTGGCCTCATGTCTGTTTTCAAGCTTGTGAAACAGTCCTTGAACTATGTAGACATTTTGATCAATATCGCAGAATTTCTGATTTGAATGTAGAAATCCAAGAAAAAATTGTTCTCTCACAGATGGCAGTTATGAAGGATAATATATTCTTAAACATTAAAAATCCAATATTTATTAATCAAAACAGTAGAATATAATCTATGGCTAATGAACAAACAAGCATATAACCAAAGTCGAGTACGTAGCATTCAACAGACAAATTTAATTACTTCCAAGGTAGTCTACGCAACTCTCTAAGCGCTACACTTCCCAACTCTTATCTCCACAAGCTTCAGATCATCCAGAAGTCACTCCCCCTCGTCCCCTCCTTAGCCTCCTTCAAGTCCCGCCTCAAGACCCTCTTCTTCGACCATGCCATTGGCCACCCCCTTTCACCTCCCATCCCCCCGACCCCAGCTCGGGTCTGAAATGCTGTACATTGTCAAGCGCCTTGGGACTCCTCCCGACGTGAAAGGCACTATACAAATGTAATCTTGTTGGTGTTGCACAGAAGTGGGAATAGCACACACACCAAAAATATGACAAAGTGGGTGAAATTCAGGATTTGTGCTTTCCTCAGATCAATCATGTACCTGGCACAACTCCAGCACTGTGTGGACGATGCAGAATGAAGAAATTAATTGAAATGGTCCAATATGCTGAAGTAAGGAAGAAAGAGATTTTGATGGATTGGATAAAAACAGAAAAATGTCATTTTAGAGAGAAACAGATTTTCAGATGGTAGTGTTCAAGACTCAAATTCAACTGGTCATACTGAACACATTGGTTCTGTAGATTTATGGACTGAGGCAAAATATAAGGTCCTAAGACAAGTGCCAAAACATTACAGCAGATTTACAAAACACTGAGAATTATTACGAAGGCACAGTAATGACGTAATTGAAAGGCTATACATAAAAGTCACATTGTGAAACACAGAAATAAAATATATCGATTACATACACCATTATCGACCATTGTACCTTTCCAGTTTGTATTAAAATGTACTATATGGTAAAATTAGTCAGATAAAATCAACACTGGTAATAATAATAATCATCCTTGCATTTGATACAGCGTTTTTCACGTCGGGAGGACGTCCCAAAGCGCTTCACAGAATAGACTGTGAAGTGAATTGACTGTATATTTGTGGGCGAATGCGGCAGCCAATTGCGCACAGCAATGTTCCACAAACAGTCGTAGATTGAAAATGACCAATTTATTATTGTTTTGTTTTGGAGGGATTATTATTAGGTGTGTGGAGTAAGGAAACTTGCCCAAGGTTTCGCCCTGCCTGGAATTGAACTCAGGTCTCTCGCTTGCAAAGCGAGTGCTCTAACCACTGAGCTACAGGACTCCACGCAATAGGAAAATATGAATATAAACTAGGAGTTCTGGTGGGGAGGGGGTGGGGAATGAATTTGTTTTCATTATTGGCTTCACCATCATGTTCCTGAGTGTATCAAATCCTAATAAGTTGCCAGGTACAACTATCAGCAAAAGAATGACAGTAATGGATAAGTTACAGCTAGCTTTTGGCCAATACTGCTTGACAGCAGCTTCCATACAATACAACGATCCAGCCTAAAGTGCCAATTATATGTACAGGTGGACTCAGGAAAAAATACCTTGTTGCAGGAAGGGTGCTGACACGTGTAAAGAATACTGATGGCTCCACATCCACGTGAAGTCCCAAAGACAGGTTCCTGTAATATCCTTCTGTATGTCCAGGTCCCCCAGAGTATTTGAAGCTTAAAACTGCTTCCAGTGTCTGAAAAAACAAAATAAAATGGAAAATCATTACAACTTTCACAACATTGCTATTTTCCAATCTTTTATCTTCTTCATATCAAAGTCTTATTTGTTAATTCACATCAATTAAAGAAAAAAATGCAAGCACCTAAGAAAAGATGGGTCATTTCATTAGCCCCATCATCTGTTACAGAACATAAGCCAAAAAGTCATTTTTTTTGTACAGAATCTATTTGTTACAGCCTTTGTGCATAAATCCAAATAAATAAATGAACACAAACCTAATTTTATTGCATATAAACAAATAACAGTAGCAATACGGACTTTCTCATTCCATCAGGATTCTTTTCAATCCATAACTGTCTGTGGGACACTGCTGTGCATAATTGGCTACCGCGTTTCACCCGCAAAATATACATTCAATTCACTTTACAGTATATTCTGTGAAGCACTTTGAGATATCTCAAAGACGTAAAAAGGTACCGTATCAAACGCAAGGATTATTATTTTTTATTCATTTCATTTGTGATTTCTCTTAAATTCAAAGTAACTGAACTGATTTTTTTAAAATCTACCAACAGCTTCTCCTCCTGCCCTCATATCATCATGTGTGGCATTCCTCAGGACTCTATCTTTGGTCCTCTCCTCTATTATTTACATGCTCCCGCTTGGTGACATCATCCACATGCATGGGGTTAATTTCCATCATGTATGAGGATGACGCCCAACTCTTTCTCTCTGACTCCACCGTAGACTCCAGGTCCTTTACTGTTATGGCTGATAGTTGATCAGACATCAAGTCCTGGATGAGAGACGAGTTTCTCCAGTTGACCGTTGATAAGACCTAGGCCCTGTTGCTTGGCTCCCGTCAGCGCCGCCACACCTCAGGTGCTGACAGCATCACCATACATTGATGCACTCTTCACCTCACTGAGCCAGTATGGAATCTTGATGTCCTTTTCGATGCTCAACTATCCTTTAAACCACACATCCATGCTATGACCCGTAAAATCCTCATCCTCACTTTTAAAGCTGTTTTGTTCGACCCTGAGCTGTCCTTTCTCCCTCACATCCGCACCACAACTGGCACCGCCTTCCATCACCTCCGGAACATCGCCAGACTACGGCATTACCTCACCCCTCACGCTGCTGAAACCCTGGTTCACGCCTTTGTCACCTCAAGGCTGGACTATGGGAACTCTCTCCTCGCCGGCCTTCCCGCCACCTCCCTCCACAAGCTGCAGGTCATTCAGAACTCTGCAGCTCGTGTACTGTCCCGCACCAGGCTTCGCGACCACATCACTTCTACCCTCGCTCGCCTCCACTGGCTCCCCATCCCCCAGAGGATTGATTTCAAGATCCTCATCCTCACCTACAAGGCCATTCACGGCCTTGCTCCCTCCTACCTCTCCAACCTACTATCCCCCTACTTACCTGCCCGTACCCTCCGTTCCTCTGGCTCCAGTCTGCTCCACGTCCCCCGCCCCAACCGCCCTACCATCGGTGGTCGGGCCTTCGGCCTCTCAGCCCCCGGGCTCTGGAACTCCATCCCCCAGTGCTTTCGCCGCTTCCTCCCTCTCCTCCTTCAAGGCCGGTCTCAAAATCTTTCTCTTTGACTGTGCCTTCAGCTCCCCTCTCGACTCTCTTCCCCCTCCTCGCTTCCTCCCTTCCCTCCCCTCACCCTGACCATTTGCCCCCTCCTCGCTCCCTCCCTTCCCTCCCCTCACCCTGGCCGTTTCCCCCCTGCTCGGGTCGTGACCCAACTGTGCAGCGCCTTGGGACGTCCTCCTGACGTGAAAGGCGCTTTATAAATGGAATCTTGTTGTTGTTGTTGTCCACGGCCTTGCTCCTCCCTACCTCTGCGATAAGAACATAAGAAATGCTAGACGAAAAAAGACCAAGGTCCATCTAGTTCGCCTTCCGCTTTCCTGGTGGTCAAATGCACATATGTCCCAAACTACCTATGTACTATATCCCATAATGTTATTTCCTCAAAGAAAACTATCTAATCTGCATTGGAAAGAATCAACACTTGCGATCTATTAACACAATACCTACCTGCCCGCTCGCTCCGCTTGGGGGTTACTGACCTAGTTTGTGTCCCCGAGCTGCCCACTCCACCATCTGCTTTTCTGCCCCCACCATCCGGAACTCCATCCAGGAATCCCTCCACCTCACCCCCTCCCTTGCCTTTTTCAAGAGACTGTCCTCTTTGATCATGCTTGCAGTCATCTCCCACCCCCTACCCTCCACCCTTCTTGATTCCAACCCCAACTCAGGTGCAAACCCTTAACTGTCCAGGGCCTTGGGACATCCCTCTGATGTAGATTTACTATACCAATGTAATTTTGTTGTTTTTCTTTTAACTATACTTGGGAAAGTACTTTTGAAATTCAAGATAAAGTGGTTGTGTAACTGGAGAGGTTTGTACACTACTGATTGCATACATCATAGTAAACATATGAACACCATTCAGCCCATTGAACTTGTTGCATCATTTTATTCGACTTTTTTTGACAGGAGAGTTTTTAACCCCATTTCTGCAATGTTTCTCCATATCCCTCAATACTCTTACTTCCTGTGAATCCATCTCCTTTTAAAAAGCCCAATATGTGTCACTCTCATCTCAGTCGGAGGAAAATTACTTTTTCTCTTCTGGTTTGGTGCAGCAGAATTTTTTTCAATTTAAAATTTCTCTAATCCAATCATTCTCAGGTTTATTTGATACATACACTTAAACTGACTCATTTGCTTCTCAATTAACGCTTGCAAGTTACATCCTCATTCCTTTGAATCCTTAAGTTCATTGCCATTGATTAAAAACATTGTCTAATAGCTAAAACTACTTTCATTATTGCAGACTTGTGCAAGATTATGGAACAACTGGAGAATATTTAGAAAATTCTCTTAAAATTTTTCTCTCTGAGTGTATTAAATTATCCTCCTTTCATATATTTTCCTTTTATATCGATAATGTTATGAAATACTTTTTTTTAACTGATATTCAGTGTTTCTGAAGCACAAAGTAAAAACAAGGCACATTTAAAGGACAGTAATTTATCACTGGCCTAACATATGGCAGTATAAGAACCCTCACTAAAGCACAAGTTCACTCATAATCGGATGTCTTGGTGTAACTGGTGCACTTCACTTTTGCCTTCCAATGCTTGAAGCCAGCCAATCAATCACAACTGCTCTCGCAAAGGTTTCTAGCATGACAGCGGCACGGCTGTCTGTCCTGCTCCCTGAGTGCCAGAGAAGGGATCTGGATGGTCAACTCTTGCCAGAAGCTGGAAGCGACACCAGTGGCAATCTGATGACCCAAAATCAAAACAAGTGTAATTTCTTTTTCAAGGACCTGTTGGAACGTTGTGTCCAAATCTATGGATCTGAAACGCCACATTATAACCTTGTCTTTGTTGTGCCTCCAGCATATGTACAGAAATTGCTTTTGTCAAATTTTATCAAATAATCTTAGTTGGAATTTTCATATGAAGCTATGAAAATCATCCTCTCTCATCAAATCAATTCATGTTGATTCAAGATTTCAACAAATAGAGTGAAAACTAATTAGTTTAAACATTTTTAAATTGCCCCCCTTCCCCTATCCATAATTCAAGATACCATATTGTAATTAAACCTCTTAATGTACACCTGGTTCTAATATTTTTATTATCTTCTATAAATGGACAAAGCTACTACGCATGATGTTGATCTTATTGATTCATTTCATGTTCTCCAGTTATTTTTAGCCAAATTGACTTGAAAGGTTAAGAAAGCATCAGCTTTTGAATTATTATGAACATCAGCGAGGCGGAAAGTGCTACTGTCAGCACTATAGAAATCAGTGCTGAATAAATCATAGAATCGGAATTATACAACACAGAAGGAGGCCATTCAGCCCATCGGCTTCCACCACGCTTTCAGGCAATGCATTCCAGATCCGAACAACTCGCTGTGTGAAAAAATTTCTCCTCACCTCCCCTCTGTTTCTTTTAACAACTATTTTAAATCGGTGTCCCCGGGTTACCGATCCACTCGCCAGTGGAAATAGCTTCTCCTTGTTCACCCTATCGAATGCCCTCATAATTTTGAAAACTTCTATTAAGTCTCCTCTTAACCTTCTCTGCTCCAAGGAGAATAATCCTTGCTTCTCTAGCCTCTCCTGATAACTGAAGTCCCTCATTCCTGCTACCATCCTGGTAAATCTCCTTTGCACCCTCTCCAATGCCTTAATATCCTTCCTAAAGTGTGGTGTCCAGAACTGAACACAGTACTCCAGCTGAGGCCTAACCAATGTTTTATAAAGGTGCATCATAACTTCCTGACTTTCGTATTCTATGGTCCTATTCATAATGCCTTGTATGCCGTGTGCTTTTGAACAGCTTTATCTACCCGTCCCGCCACCTTCAAAGATTTACTTATATGAATCCCCAGATCTCTCTGTTCCTTCACCCCCTTTAAGATTGTACCATCAGCTTCTAATGCTTCTCCTCATTCTTCCTCCCAAAATGCATCACTTTGGGAGATGGGTCAGTAACCCGAGGACACCAATTTAAAATAGTTGTTAAAAGAAACAGAGGGGAGGGGAGGAGAAATTTTTTCACACAGCGAGTTGTTCAGATCTGGAATGCATTGCCTGAAAGGCTGGTGGAAGCCGATTCAATAACAACTTTTCAGAAAGAAGTAGATAATTATTTGGGGAGGACAAGTTTGCAGAGCTATGGGGAGAGAGCGGGGGAGTGGTATTGAATTGGATAGCTCTTTTCAAAAAGCCGGCACAGACACGATGGGCCGAATGGCCTCCTTCTGTGTTGTATAATTCTATGATTTATTCAGCAGTGGTCCAATACTGACCCCCCTGGGGGGCACCACTGCACACTTCCCTCCAGTCAGAAAAACAAGCGTTCTGCTTTCGGTCTCCCAGCCAGTTCTGTATCCATGCTGCCACTGTCCCTTTAATACCATGGGCTTCTATTTTGCTTACAATCTCTTATGTAGCACTTTATCAAACACCTT